CTTGGGCAGAGGGCACACGGACACCCGGCCCCCTTGGGTCTGCTCATAGAAGTGGGGGGCCCCGATGAGGACCAGGTCCGTGTTGCCGTCTCTGTTCACGTCCATGGAGCAGAGGGAGGCCCCGAAGTAGGAGCCAATCTGAAGAGCGGAGCCATAAGTTGTCCTGCCTGGTCCTGCCTGGTCCTGCCTAGTCCTGCCTGGCAATGCTCTGGGCAGGTCCCTCCTCTCCCCAGGCCCTGGGACCTCCCATCTCCTTCCCTGGCCACCCTGCCCACCCTCATGTCCCACTAGCTCCCTCCTACCAACCTGGGTTCCTGTGACTTCGGCCTTCAGCCTCCACTGCTTGGGCCCAGGGGTGAAGATGACAACCTTCCCCGTGTGCTGGTAGCGGGGGGCGCCCAGGACCAGGTTCTGCTCCCCCTTCCAAAGGGCCAGCTCCGTGGAGTAACCTGAGGGCCCAGGCCTGAGCACAAAGGCTCTCCCCACCCCAGCCCTCACCCTTCCCAGACAGCTGGTCTCCGCCTGGCCCCACCCGGCCTTTTCTCACCCAGGTAAGAGTCCCTCATGTCCACGCGCTCCTCAGACATGTTCAGGAAGGTGGGGTTCTTGTTTGGGTGGTATAGAAAGGCCCCTCCGGACCAGCCAAAGCTCCCCACAGCCCCCAGAACTGGTCCATCCTGGGAGGAAAGGATTCCAGAGCTGAGCAGGCGGGAGCAAGGGGGCAGCCTATTCCATGGAAAGGCCTGCTCTGACCCCAGCCCTCGTCTGGAGTTTCCTCTGCCTTTGTGACTCCCACACTCAGGGGTAACCTTGAGCACAGGGTCTGCTTCTTTGCTTCTGGGCCCCAGCTCCAGCCCAGGGCTGGCCCAGAGCTGACCCCAAGGCCTGTTTGTGGGGTGTGTGCTTCACCCGCTCACCTTCCTGAGCACTGAGCTGAAGCCCTCCTGCGCCATCTCATGCTGGAAGTCGCTGCTTGTCCTTGACTGGGTTCCTGTGGGGAAACAGGCCACTTAGGTTCCTGGAAGCTGCAAGACCATGAGGACTCAGAGAGAGGAAGGAGAGGGGTCTGGGGCTTGAGTTCTGCGGAGCAATTTTGAGCGAGTTGGGATAGGGACGGACTGTCAGGACTGCAGGGGATGACTGGGCTGGGACCCCTCCAGCCGCAGGCCCGAGCTTGTTCCCAGTTTACCCTCAATGGCGAAGATCTTCTCTTGCAGCTGCTTCTGGATGCTGCCGAGGGCTGCAAAGTTGTCGACCTTGAACACGTGGTCCTGCGGGGGCTCTGAGCCAATGGTGTTCAGCTCCTGCTTGGCGGAGGGTTCCTGGAAAGCGTCTCCCACCTGCAGTAGAGAGGCAGCTGAGGAGGGCGATCTCAGCAGCTCTTCGCCTGGGGGAGGTGCAGGCTGAGGCTCAGGGAGCAGCAGAGCAGAGGCCGCACCCCGATGGCATAGCGGATGACGCCGGCTCTCTCTGCCTGCGGGATGACGTCACTGTATTCCAGGGGGTCTTTGTACTTCTGCCCATCTGTGATGACAATGAGGATTTTCTTGGCACTTTTGCGGGCGCCGTTCTTGCTGTGAAATAGCTCTTTCCTGTAGGGAAGAAAAGGAGGTGACACCACTGGGAAGACAGCCTTGGCGGTGCTGGACGCTCATCTAGGGAGGTTGGGGAGTCCTGGTAGCCTCAGACTCTATCGGGCATGTTAAGAGATTGAGTCAGCCCTTTGTGGAAGCCATACTGGGCCGGCAGGTGGCATGGTGGTGAAGGCACTGACTCCCACATGGCCAACCACAGTTTGAGTCCTGGACATGATGATTTGCTTTCTCTATCTTTCTGTCTCTCTCTGGTCAAATTGAAGAATAATGATAATAAATAAACTTAAATAAATAATAGTTTTTTTAAAAAAGGCAGCCATACTGGCAGTAGTTAAGAGCAATAATAAAGGTACTCATATTCATCGTTCCTACAAGCCTGTCCACTCCCGCCGTTTCCCGGGAGGTGGTGTGGTTCAGAGCAGGAGCCTCAGCTGTCGCCTGTCCGAGCCTCTGCTGCTCTCTGCGGAGTGAGGGTACGCTGTGCCATGGTTGGTCTCTAAGGACGTCCCTAGGGAAGCACGCCTGCCTCTCTGCCTGCACTCAGCTTGACCTGGCCTGTGGCGCCCTTGCATCGACCAAGGCCGTGGAAGTGACACTGCCAGTGAGGGCACTGAGAAGCCTTGGCATTTTTGCTTTCACACTTTGGGGATCTCTGGACCACAGTGACAGGAGTCCGCCTGCCCCATTAGGGGTTCCCTGAAGAATGACCACGTGGAGAAAGATCACACGCGCGAGCAGCCCCCTCATCCTGGGAAGCCCAGATGGGGACATAGGGCAACGCTCTCTGTTCCAGCTTTAGATACCTGACTCCAGCCACACCAGAGGCCCTAGGCCGAAACAACAGACTATCCCACAGAGCCCAGGGTCGTGGCAAATAACAAAACTTGTTTAAGTCACTAAATGTGGGCAGGTGTGCTAGGCAACAGTCAATAACTGAAATAGTGTCGGGGTATTCTAGAGATGAAATGAGGTCAAGCCTGCAGTTAAGCATTGTTACAAGACAGACATGGCAAACTATTAGAAACGTAACTTGGGGCATAGCAGGTGGCGCAGTGGCTAAGGCGCTGGATTCCCACATGGCCAGTTGGGGTTACAGCCCCAGATTCTGTGGCTTAAAAGTCATACTGGGTGCATGTGAGTGCGTGACCCAAATCCCTTTGGACATTTATATAGGTGTTACCAGTATTACAACACATATGGTACGTGGGACCAGCAGTTGGTGTAATGGCTATGTCGCTGGACTCCCATGTAGTCGACTGCGGTTCAAGGCTCAGACCTGGTGGCTTAAACTCACGCCGGGTGCATGTTGCGTGTGTGCCCAAGATCCCTAGAGGAGGATGGGGGAGAAGGGATTGTGGCGCGGCCATCCCCCTGGGGGGGTGACATCTCACTTTTTGCCTCTCTGTCTCTCTCTGTCTTTCTGGCAAACATACACACTCTACAGCAAAAACCTCCCCGATAATAATAATAATAATACATATGGTGATGGTCCGTGTGTGTTTTGAGTTTAGAGAGCTACACAAGCATAGAGTTATATTTTTTTGTTATTTGCCAGAGGATGGGTTAGCAAATCATGATCTAACCCCTTGGTGGAAAAGGAGTTGGCCATTTCAATGGAAAACAATGGACATTGTGAAGAAATATGGGACACATTGATATGACCTAGCTGGAGAAAAAGCAGGATGAAACTAGTTTCTGCCCTGATTGGGAGCGTGTAAAGAAATCTGAATGGCTGGAACTAGCCCTGCGCTGTGGAGGTGGGATTTGCTGAGAAACGTGTACACATCCCTTTTGGCTAAAATATTATAATGTGGACGACCAGACGGACGGTGGATAATACATCTTTAAAATTCATTCATTAATGTTACTGCAATTTATCATTATTTTTTGCAATGAACTTCATTAAAAATAAGAAAGTGGGACCAGCAGGAAGCATGGCTAAGGTGCTGGCCTCCTGCATGGTCGACAGTGTTTGAATCCCAGACCCATGGCTTGAAACTCACATGAGGTACGCGCGTGTGTGTGTGCGCCCAAAATCCCAAGAGGAGAATGGAGGAGAAGGGATTGTGGCATGGTCATTCCCCCATCACCGGGGTGGTGATTTCTTGCTTTCTATTTCTGTCTCTTTCTCTCTGGTGAGCGCATGTGCCCTATAGCAAAAAATCTCTCTCAAAAAAAAAAAAAAAATCTAGTCAATGCAGGGAGGGCTGAGTGAGCCTCATGATTCCAACCCAGAGGCCAGCTTGGCTCTGGGGAGCTGGGAGGTTGCTGGGAATTGCAGTGTATTGTGATAGAGGTGGGGGTCTGGGGAACAAGGCTGGAATTGGTGAGAACCTCGCCCTCACCCCACTCCACTCACCCCTCCTTCCAGGCCCCACCACTGGGAGAGCCTGGAGGGCCGGGGAGGGCTCTGGGAGAGGGTGCTCCTGTGTGACTTCGCTTTCCGGAGAGAGGCCTTCCTCCTGATTGTCCTGTCCTTAGGGGCCAGTGCTCCGGCCAGCACAGGGTGCCTCTGGTGGGAGCCTTTCTGGTTTCGGATGCTCTCCCTAACCCCAGCACCTCTTCCAGCACCCAGGCCATGCAGGAAGCCAAGGGTCCAACATTCCACCTGGCTCCTTCCCATGGGAACCACGTCCTCTTCTCTCCAGCCCTGCCTCCTACACTGCTTCCTGCATGGACCACGGGCGCCCAGGGCTGGGCAGAACATAGTAAGCGCCCAGTTACTGCAGAGGGCATGCTCGGATGGAGGGAGATGAGCGGGGAGAGGCTCAAAGAAGACACTTGGCAACAATTCCCGAGTCCTGCCAGGGAGGTGAAGCAGGTCGCCGTCCTCTGGACAGAACCCCGCCATTCATCCAGCTCCTCCCGTGTGCCCACCCTGAGCACTCACACGTGACCCCACTTCATCCTTAGCTGAGCCGTGAGTTCACCCCACTTGACAGTTTACAGAGATGTCAGCAATCTCAGGTAGTAGGTGGGGGCCAGGGTGGGAACCCGGGTACGAGACCCACAGCCCCTGCCTCTGGCTGCCCCAGTAGGCACCTAGGTCCGGCCTCTCCATAACCAGGCAGAGGTGACTCACAGCTGTCAAGAAATCGATTCCCAGTCTGGCGGTGAAGGGGCCAGGAGCGCTCCAGGGAGGGGTCCCCACTCCCCTTTTTAGCGCTTTTTTGCTGAGCTTCCCTCAACCTCCGAGGAGCAGGAGTTGTGGCAGCCACCTTTGGCAGTCCGAGTGGGGCGAGGGGAGGGGAGGGGAGGGGAGGCAGACTTACACCACTCTCAAGATGCCCGTGGCTGTGAAGGTCAGGCCTTTGTGCTGGACGACGGGATCCACCAGGCTCTGAGGGCTCGAGCTGGTCCGGAATTTGGTGAAGGTGAAGTGGGTCTCCAGGAGGTTTGAGTACTGCATCAGCGAGAACTGTCAAGGCCAAGGAGGTGGGCCGGGGCTCAGCACTTGTTATTTTTTTATTTTTAAAAATTATTTCATTTTATTTTATTTATCATTATAGTTATTTTCATTTTGACCAGAGCGACAGAGAGAGAGAGAGAGAGAGAGAAAGGCACCAAGTCCAGGACTCGAACTGTGGTCAGCCATGTGGGAGTCCAACACCCCTAACCACCATGCCACCTGCTGGCCCTCGCTTGTTATTTTTAATAAACCAACTTGAGAATTGAAAAGCATTTGCCCTGTGGTTTTATTTTTAATAAATTATTTTTTTTATTGCACTTTATTATTTATTTTAATTT